AAAGGATCGGCAAAGGGGTGGGCCTCGAGTCTATCGGGCTGCGATCACTACGCCTGATCGCGGCTATCACGATAGACACTGATACTGTCAACGATTCCATCCAGACTCTTGAAACAACATTGCAAAAACGGACTGTAGCCCCAGAATTCGATGTCACTTTCAGCGGTGTCGAGCGTCAGACTCATCACGCAAGTTGCATCCTGCGAGTGATGGAAGACGCCAATGGTATAAGAGGCGAGCACACGACTCGCACACTCATCCGGGCCGTCTCTCGTATAAATCTGCTACGAAGCAACACCGCTTCCAACTACTTCAATGGGCAGATGATCTACAAGATGTGGACGTCCGTTATGCAATACTCTTCAGAGTATCATGTTCTCCGGAACCTCACACTAGCACCCCTCGGTTATGAAGCCTGCGCGAAGCTTCAAACAACATCAACGGCGGGGCCTGCAAACCGAGAGTACACGATCGACCCGGTCTGGCTGGATGGTGCCATGCAGGCCGCTGGATTCACAGTGAACATGAATGTGGCTGCTGATCCCGGAGCGGTGTACGTTCTCACCGGATGTGCGGCCATCGACTTCTGGGAGCGTCCGCGAAGCAACAACATGTACGCTTGTTACGTCCACGGCGAAGCAGACGTGTTAGGCGATGTCATCATGAACGTTGCAATATTTGATGAGGACAACGACATGTGCCCGGTGGCAGCTATTAGTGGCATGCGCTTCCACAAACTGAAGCAACGACCGGAAACCAAAAGCAAAAGTGGTAAAGGCTACGAGGACGCCACGGTACGAATGAACGGGGGTGAGTCCAGCAATCAGGTCATCTCGCCTACAACTAAGTTGTCAAATCCAACTCCCATTTCTCCGTCAAAGAGTGTGAGACTCGATGAAAATAAGGCAGTCGCCGACTCAGGCCCAGCGAGCTTGATTGATACACTCATCTCAATACTGGCCAAAGAGACGCATGCAGACCCCGATGAGATTGGCCAAGACACCGCACTAGCCGACGTGGGTGTCGATTCCTTGCTGGCCCCTACCATATCAGATACCATTCGCGTCAAGTTAGGCGTTGAGATTTCATTGATAGCTCTAATAGAAGCTCAAACTGTCAGCGGCCTTGCCTCGCTTTGCGCGGATATCAATCCCGCAAACGTCGAACCCAGACTAGGTAAAGATGCTGCTGAGAAGTCCAGGATCTCACTAAGGAGCATCGCCCGGGTATCAGACGCAACAACTCGCGCTACGAGTGCTGAACTTTCGAGTAGAGTTGCTCTCTTGCAAGGTTCCAGTCATTGCAAACACAATTTATTCCTCCTTCCCGACGCCTCCGGAAGCAGCTCCGTGTACGCAGGGCTTCCGCCGAACCTATCCCAACAGACCGACACGAGAATCTATGGTCTTGAGTCGCCATTCCACGGCACTAGTTCCATACCCGACCTCTCAATGGATAGGTGCTGTTCACTATTCGTCGAGGCAATTCTTCGGATCCAACCAACGGGTCCGTATCTCCTTGGTGGCTGGTCGATTGGAGGGCGCCTTGCATACGAATGCGCAAGACAGATCATACAACTGGGACATGAAGTTTTGGGACTTCTCGTGATAGAGTCTTACGCAGAGATGACGCCCAATCTCTGCTTGAGCCCTGAGGCGATCTCAGTTGAGCATCTCGAGGCGACAGGGTTCTTTGGATGGTCTGGAGGTCATGCTTCGTCAAGCATGACTGAGTGGCAGAAGAACCACATGCTATATCTCATCCTCATGAACAGCGCCTTTAAACTTGAACCCCTTTACGAGGACAAGAAGGAGAACACTGCGATGTTGCATTTAGTCTGTTCGTCAAACGGCGACTTTTCGCTGTTCCCAGCTAAAGTTTTGCAAAAAGCGCTGGAATTGAGCAACGGATCGTTTGGCAATGCCATAAACGGTGATGATGAAGAATGGTTGAAGGAACCACGACCGGAAAGATTTATAGCCCGGCTCACAGAAGAATGGCAAGAATTAGCAGGGCCACGTTTGAGGCAGCACGTCGTTCAGGGAGGACACTTTGACATCATGATCCCAAGAGTGAATGAGGATCTAGCACATGTCATCGCAGAGGCATTGAGATGTTTCTGCGAGCCCTCGGTACAGGAAGTGAGAGGATAAAAAATTGGTTCTTTCTAAGCAGCTCAACAATCTATAGACTTAGATACATAGCTTTTGTTCACTTCACGGAAAATTTGGATTAGCAATTATCATTATCTTGAAGATACACTCTGTCTTCCGGAGTTTTTGTTACTCTCTCAATCTTCACTTTGAATGACCTTTTCGCCGAAGGAAGTCAATAACGGAGCGAGAGAGGAGGACCAGGGGCGTAGGGGCGTGGATTACCCTCGAGACACACCCTCATCCAGATCTCCCACCCGGAATCCTGGATGAGCAATTACGAGTCAGCTCAATCTGTGCCAAGTAAGGTCTATCCCCCTTGCTATAATAGAAACCTAGTCCGCGAGCCCCGGTACATGACACCTGCGCTCACTTATAAAGACTCACGAGTGAGAAGCAAAACCTCGGCCGAGATGAGAAGCTTTCAAGAGATACTGCGGAAACGGAAATATGGCAAACGGGAGTGAATACACAAGAGACTCGTCATTATCGAAAATGGAAACTTCAGAAAAGCCTCGTCTCATTGACTCCGTCACCAACACGAGAACGCGCCCGATGAAGCTACTGTTGCTCGGACTGCCGCGGACGGCCACGGAATGTAAGTCATCCCATTCAAAAACACGTTCATCCCATATCGCAACACCCTCAACTTCCACAAACCCAAGCCATGCTATTTTACTAACTCAACCCGACAGCACTAAACAGCGCCCTCGAGCAACTCGGCTTCAAAGTCTTCTCCTTCCAAGCAATGTGGCCAACCTGGCAAGAGTCAATCCCGCTCTGGACGGAAGCCATCGAAGCAAAGTACCACAACCGCTGCAAACCCTACGGCCGCGCGGAATTCGACAAGCTCCTGGGCGACTACGACGTCGTGAAATGTCCGCACGCTCTCCTCTTCGCCGAGGACCTCGCCGCCGCCTATCCGGAAGCCCGCATCATCGTCTCCAAGCGCGACTACGAACCATGGCGCGCCTCCATGGAGAAGACGGTCTTCAAGCTGCGCCGCTCCCTCGTGTTCCGTCTGCTGCACCCGCTCGACCCCTTTCGCGCCGCGTGGTGGCCGTTCTTGCGGCTCATCATGGACACGGCGTACGGCGGGTGGGCCGAGGCGGTACCCGGGCGTAGACCCTATGACGAGCACCACGCTCGTGTCGAAGCCATCACGCGCGAGACGCCGGAAAGGATGCTCGTCTTCTCCGGGCCCAAGGATGGGTGGGTGCCGCTGTGTGACTTTCTCGGCTTGCCGGTGCCGGAAACGCCCTATCCGTGGACGAACTCGGGAGCAGACTTTTTCGAGAAGCAGGGTCACCGCGCGGGCGAGAGGCTGTTGCTGCGCAAACTGGCTGAGAGAGTGGCGGTCGTTGCAGGGGTTGGATTAAGCGTGTATTGGTTCCTGCGACGCTCATAGACTTCAGAAGTTGGATGCCAGCTTTGCTCTCGTCCTCATCTCGCGCGGCTACTGATTCATTTCGACTTGTCTGTTCTCGCGCCGTGACTTATTCTCAGCACCCGAGCCGGGTTCCCGTCTTGGTACGTAGTACCCGAGAAGCCGACGTCTATTGTAGCGGGACTGTGACTGGATGACCTCGGGACCGTGAGTAGCTCCAAGGTCTTCCGTTCAGTTTCTTCAAAGCCAAGATGAGTCGATCTTCTCAAACGGTGAAACAGTCGTACTTGATGAATGAACCACGTGGTAGCGCATCATTCGAAACATGATTATCTCATCGCGGTCTTTTACATCTGTGACATGGCTACTTCGATTCCGAGATACACAGCTCAGGGTAGACTCGGACCTCCAGAATGCCAATGATACTGCATCAATGTTTTGCAGATCCAGTCGGAGTATCAGATGGAACCAAAGGAGCGGTAATACGTCAGTGCCAATCAGGCGCGAGACCAACGAATCTGTACGACTCGGGACTCTCTTGGAGTGGCGACTATTGTCACTTGCTTTCTACTCGGCCGTAGTTACGGCTTCAGATGTGACCATCACTGTGGCTATGCCCATGATTGGTTTACCATAGCCATCTTCGACCATCCTATCAGAACTGCTTGTCGACTTGGTGCTGTGCCCCCTACCTGTAACATGGTATTTGGCTGGCTCAGGGCTCCCGGATGAGGGCGTTCCTGGCAAACTGTGCTCTCTCACCTGCTGTAGCTGGCACCTGGCTTACTTGCCGTTTTCGCAGGATAGACGAAAGACACGCTCTCCTGCTACAGCCTAGTAAATAGCTGATGACGAGTCTAGAAGTCGCACACATTTTTACGCCCACTTGCCCAAGCATAGCCATGTTAGCTGGACAGAAAGACGAGCAAGGGCTAGCGACACACTTATCAATAGTGTTGGTTGCACGGGTACTTTTTCTCGTGACGCACGGCAGTGAAGTAAGAAGTGAACGGGCATGGGCATGAGATTTCCCATAAGGCTACATCGACGGTGACAGTGCACTGCCGACGTTTCTGTGCAGTTGACAGCCGAAAAGCGTATGAGTCCATGGGCTGAGGTTGAGACATACTCTGTATTATCTCGCCGCTTGGATGATCCGGTCCTATCACGTCTTCACATCCCGTAGGCTGGGCCGAGTCATGCTGTAAATATATTGGAGGCGCGCAGATGCGTAGCGGGAGAACGTCGTTGGTTGTCTCGTTCGCAGTGAGACAGTGTCGAGGGGCTCGGGGAAAAGGGACTTTTCCCTTCCTTTTCCGTTTTCTTGACCTTGAGACCTGCAGGAGGCTTCGCAATTGAAGCTCAATCCAGACCTAGATTTTGCGGATTTACACTACCTATCACCTCTTCGTCTCTCAACCATGTCTCTGTCATGATCTTGTTCTCTGCGTCTATCTCCTCTATTGCATGGGGGGCCAAGAGCCAAAAGGACCGCGGTGACTGGGATCCTGTTGGTTCTTCCGCTCACCGAGATAAGATGTTTGCCTGCAGTGAGAGACGCCACCACGGGTAAGGACTGGGAATGAGAGAGGGGTCGTTGGAAAGAGGCCTGTTGGAAAACATCGTGAGTGCCGAGGCGCCGCGAATCGTCTCCAGGAGGGGAGGAGCAGGAAGAAAACGAAAGGTAGAACGGCAGGGTAACCACTCGGCAAGAGTGATATGTGCATGGTAATCACCATTCGTAATTTGGATCCTCAAGATAAAGAAGAATCGTCAAAGACATGCATAGTGACCATTCGAAGACGCGCCCTGCGATGTAACGGGAGAAAAGAGAAATCAACAACATGCAGCTTTCCTGGCGCAGATTTGGCCGCGACAACTTTCACGATAATCGTCGTCGATTACAAGGCCACCTACCCTTCGGCATTCGAGTTTTGGACGAGCCGTCACAGAGAGTACAAGGAGGTCAGATGATCTTTTTTGGGGATCGCGTCCAATGCTGCTGGTCGAGGGAAAGGATGGGTGGCACGAGCAGGGAATCGGCCGAGGATATGAACGGATGGGTCGGAAACACCGGGTCTTGTCTAGGAAGGCAAGCATTCTGCTGTAGTTTTTCGGCGCTTGCAATTCTTCAGCGCTCGTTCCTTGATGATCGCTTTGTCGCTCTGGGGTGCTTCATGTACCACTATGGTTCGAAGTGCTGCATCTGTTGTCGAGACCTCTACGACTCCATCCATAGTGGGTGAAGCATTATGCCGGGGCGGATGGGTTAGAGCACCCGAAACCAGAAAGATTCGATTACGGGATGCCAACATCGTGAGTCTAGGTTTTTTGTTGTGTGATGGCGTTCCGCAGGCAGACCACTCTGTCCTGAAGAACTCGAGTTAGGCAGACTTAAGCTCGGATATAATGGGAGAAAGCAATGCGGGAGCATGCGTGTGTCGTGGCCAACATGTGGTTGTCATGGCTTTCGTCGGGCATGGGCCGTGCCGCAGGGTGTCGCTTGACGATACAACGAGACAAGTGATGAGAGGAGGACTATCCAAATAGATTCGGTGATTTGAAAGGTGCCACGGGAATCCTGAATGCTTGGTCTGACGATGAAGCCGTCATTTGGTCGCACTATCAGGGGCGAGTAGAGAATTTGGGACACCAAAGGAAACGGTGTCTCTCAAACGCATGATAGCCCGCGCAGCGTGGACAGGCTGCATCGAACACTGCCTGGTTCTTCTCCCCTCTGCTTCAAGGTCTAATGGAAACCTCCGCATTGCATGGGTCTGTATTCTCGCAGCTTTTCAATGCTCCCTCGAGGTGCTGGTGTGCGTCTGTGTGGGAGGATTGGCAAGGGTCGACACGGGTAGCCGCAGTTGTCGGTCGAGACTGGAGACGTGATCGCAGGGACAGCTGGCAGCCCGGGAGAAATCAGATCAGAGTCCGAGGTAGGTGAAGCCGAATGGAGAAAGATGCGCGCATATTGTCATTCGAGAACAATGATTCGGGCTTTATCTCAAAAACGATAATCTGGAGGTCGTCTTCAGCCGGACGTAACTGAAGGAGAGATCGTAGAGCAGCAAGATCGGTTCGGGGCTCGACGCAAGGAACGCAGGCGCCGGGGAGCACATGAGGCTGCTCATACCACGGCATCGGCGAGGGTTGTAGTTACAGGATATGTAAGCCCTGTATTTCTTTGCGGCTGACGTCAATATCAGATCCAACATTTTGCCGAGACAGCCTGCCCCTCCAAAGACGGCTCGAAGAATATGCATGCCTACTTACCCAAAAGGGAGAGAGAACAAGGCGACATATGAAGTATCACCCACCGCTGTCTCCTTATTCGCTAGTCCGCGGCATGAAACGAGGCAACCAAGAAAGAAGAAGTCGAGAGCAAGGCATGGGTCACAAGACTCGGCCAGCTGTCCTCTCTGGTGATGTCTTGGCCGGCGTTGAGGGCCCGAGAGACGATAATGCTCTCCAGACCGGCTGCTGGTTAAAGGCGGTGAGGCAAACCGACACACAAGAAGGATCAGATGTTGGAGGGTTTACGTGAGTGCGATGACTTTCATGGTGTTGAGGGGAGGTTGGTCCTTCAAGTGTCGTGATGGAGAAAAGTATAAATCTGCGCAACTCCCTCCTTCACCATGCTTTCTTTCCTTTTGTCTCTCGAACACCCTGCGACGCACTCTCCTCTATCTCACGATCTTCATCCAGAGCAAAGCACCCATCAAATCTGGGAACGGCACCTGAGCTCTTCTTTTATTAGCAACGTTGTTACATCTTATTGAATCATTATGAATCGTGGGAACACGACCTCATCATCTGCCATGGCGAGTGATGAGAATGAAACTTGCGGCTGCATCGATGATGGCTACTCTGGCAGGTGGGACTTCAGAACTTGCACTCATTGCGGTGGGCACGAAAGGTGAGGCAATCCCCAATCCAGAGTCTGCTGGACTCTACGTTGACTCTTGTCACGCAGAAATCCATGCAAAACCTGCGACTCCCGAGGTGTAGTCAGAGTCCCCTGCCCTCATGGGGCTGCTGGTCAAGCTCAAGCTCTGAGTTCTCGGCCAAGAGCCGATGATCAGAACAACAAACCGGGACCCAAGGGACCGACGGGACCGACAGGCCCGGGTCAAGGTGTTGCCGGTGCCGGCTGCCACTAAACCACGGCAGCCGACGCCATCATTTGGTTTCCGAACAACCAGATAAACTCCATACATATATAATAGAACGTTCATCTTTTCTTAAGGTTTCGTCTGGTTTGGAATTGGGCTTCGTATAGGTATAAGGTACAGGGCGTTGGTGTTATGCGCGGACGGCTCATCCCAGTTCCACTGCGTTAAGTACAGTGTTCGTCGGGAATCTAGGCAACAAATAGCACGCCAGTCCGGTAGGAGTCTGAAATCTTCATATTTGAGATCAGATAAAGGGATAGAAGAAACTTGGAAGGAAATACGACTCTTGTTTCGATGCTGCTTATATCCTTGATGAATATCGAGTGTCTCTTGACGGGGTCACTTACTCTCGCTTTCCGAGTTGCCGCAGGTAAACGACGACATGGACGGAACAGTTGGTGCCAAAACAAACCTATACTGGTAGCAGCAAATGCCGAATCCTTTCCCTACTTGTGTCCCCTTCGCTTATCCGGAGGAACGGAACCACTCAAGTACGTCCTTCGTGACTGCAAGGACGACCGACGGGAAACACAGAGAGAGGATCCGCTCAACCCTACGAGGTAGCGTGGCATCAGCCGGTTTGTGTACCGCCGCGGAAGACAACCCGGGCATTGCTACTGGAGCGATATCGAAAGGGCCGTGATCACGCGAAAGGAGCCGGCCTCGACACACAAGATACCATACAGTCATCGGTTACGTTACAGACAAGTAAGCGCCTTGAATGGAAATCGTACCACGCTCCCTTCTCTCCCTCTAGGAACCTATGAAGTATATCCGCGGGTCGGACAGACTCATAGCGGAGTTCGAGGCCTTTTCTTCCAGATACTCGTGAAAGAACCAAGTATGTATACGTACTCTGAGAACTAGGCTTGAGTTGTACAACAGCAATAGCATGACCTGACACGAAGGTGACGCCTTCAGTGTATTTAGGCTACACTACTGTGAACCCCACAGGCTCACTGAGAAAGGGTCATTGCACAGTTATTGGTTGTGGGTGGACCATTCGCAACCTAGATCACTTATCGGGAAGAGTTCCACATAGTTATTGTAAGAGATATTCAAGACTGATACTAAGACGAGTAAGATGACACCCGTAAAAGTCCAGCCAGGCATAGAATGAGGATATACCATATATCTGCACAGGTGTGCCGTATACTAGACGACGCCCTTGCTTCCGCGATCTCACCAAACTTCAAGCAGCCTCTGAAGAAAAAAGAAAAAACGGAACAGTTCAGCTCCAATCTGCCGGGTGAGTTGCTCATGGGGTTCGTCAAACCTAGAACATGACGAATACCCAGGGGCTCTGTGGCCTTCCGGCAATGGTTTGTTTCATTCATCTCTTTAATCACGTATTCCGTATCGGCGTGAGGTGTCATCAGAAGCTTGGAATCGCAAAGGACAAAGCCGTTACCTAAGCATTGACTGCCACGGACTGAAACGATAACTATCGTGATAAAGAGCCATGATAGAAATAGAGAAGCGAATACCTAGCAGCCTAGTAATGTCATAACCCTCCAGGTAAGAAAACCCGCCCCACCAGTCCTGATCGAGTTGTCCTCCCCGGCCGCCCTCTCAACCGAAGCATCATCAAATTTGAATCGTTCCGTCCCATCACTTCCTTATTCTCAAATCCAGATCCCGCAAGCTCTCAACGCCGCGACTAACAGTCAGTCGGGTAGACCCAAATGGTCGAGCCCGTTCCGATCCAGTTCCCTCTCAAGAAATCAAACCAAGCCTTAAGTCGAAGATGAAGATGAAGAACGCCTAAATTAAGTCGTCAAAGAGCAGGGGCGGTTGCAGCAAGTGCTGTTACGACACCTGCCGCAGTCAACACGCCGCCACCAACGAAGTACCCAGCCTTGCTCAAAAAGCTTCGCAGACGCTTAGGGGGAGGGGGTGCTTCTGGTGTCGGCTCTGTAACCACAGAAACAACTATGGGCTGTTCGGCCGTTATTTGCGCCCCGGTTTCAGCGCTTTTCACAGCCGCCTCGATCGTCTCCTCATGAGGCGTGAGCGTTGAGATTTCACTAGCCTTACGCTTTGGAGTAGCCTTCTCCCCGGTAGGGACATTCAGTGAAGTATCCTCAGTCTGTGCCAGTGAGCCCAACTTGCTTTGCTGGAACTGATATGCACTGGTCATATCAAGCTCGGGAGTTTCCGTTGCGTATGTAAGAGGGAAGTCTTGAGGACTATTGAGGAATTTCTCCCCAGAACTAGACCAGGCCGACTCGGCCACTTTAGCCGACTTGGGCGTTTCATTTACCGGCTCCGGCGCGGTGGCTGCATCGGAGGTAATGTGGTGCCCGAGCTTTGACGTAGATGGCTCAGTGGAAGTCGCAGGCGGCTCGGGAACCTGGCTGCGAGGTTGGACTGGGGTTGTATCGTTATCTTGCTCAATGCGGCGCAAGATTTGCTTATTGACCTCCCTGGCTGCGAAAAACTCCGGCTTTCCAGTAGCTTGGCCAAGGGCTTCAGCTGATGGCCCATCGTCCTGGGAGAACGCTAGAGACTCCGTGGCAGTGACAACCTTGGGAGTATTTGGGACCCGATCCCATGAAGCACGA